ACCTAAGCAAATAAAGCAGATAGCTCACAGATAAACAGGAGGCATCCTATATAATAGTTATGTGCAAATTGACCATCACTCCAACACACAAGATGGCCACCCTCATGTGGACACAAGATAGCCAGCAGGGGAGGGCAGTTGGGGGCGATCAGGCCAGCAGGAGAGGGCAGTTGAGAAGAGACCAGGCCTGCAAGGGAGGACAGTTAGGGGCAACGAGGCTGGTAGGGGATGGCAGTTAGGGGTGACCGGGTCAGCAGGGGAGGGCAGTTGGGGGCAACTGGGCCAGCAGGGGAGCAGTTAGGGGTGGCAGGGAGTGGTTAGGGTGATCAGACTGGCAGGGGAGTGGTTAGGGTGTGATCAGGCTGGCAGGCAGGCAGGCGAGCAGTTGGGAGCCAGCAGTCCTGGATTGTGAATCAGATATCCCTCGAGGGGTCCCAGATTAGAGAGGGTGCAGGCTGGGTTGAAGAATACCCCCCAGCCCCATGGATGAATTTCATGCACCAGGCCTCTAGTTTAAACATAGAAAATGCTCACTGTTTTTAGAGAAATGCATATTAAACCACACTTGCTCACCATTTTGAATGGAAAAAAATCCAAACACTGAGTAACATATTCTGTTGGGAGGTCTGTGATTAAATTCATACTCTCATACTTTTCTGATGGGTGAAAACATGTGCAACTGTTATGGAAGAGAATTTAGAAAAAAAATAAACAAAATTAAATAGACCCCTGGCTGGTTCGCCTAGGTTGGTTGAGCAGTGTCCCATGCAACTGAATGGTCACATGCCCAGGTTAGGGGCTCCATACCCAGTAGAGGACATGCCAATTAATGTTTCTCTCCCTCCCCCATTCATCTCTCTCTAAAATCAATAAAAACATGTACACACATATATATATATATATATATATATATATATATATATATATATATTTTTTTTTTTTTTTTTTTTTTAAAGTAAATAGCAATTTTCCTTTGACCCAGCAAAACTGCTTCCGGGAATCTTCCCTTAAGATCTATGTCCACAAGCACTAAACATTGGAAGCACCAGGTCACCGTGTTTACAATAAACAGTACAGATCGCAAGTAGCCCAAGTATGTACGGATGAGACTTGCTAACTGAATTATGCTATAACCACATGATGAAATATGTGGGTCTATGGTTATGCAACTATTTTTTTAAAAAGAATTAGAAAGATCTTTATGAACTGAGATGGAATTATTCCCAAGCTATATTGCAAGTGAAAAAAAGAGAGATCCAGAAGTGTATATAGAATTCTTCCTTTCGTGTGAGAAAGGAGACATAAGAATATCTATACATATTTGCTCATTTTTTGCAAAAAGAAACAGAATGATAAATCAGGAACTCATAAGAATGGTAAAAGTGGTTACCTATAGGGGGTGGATGTGAACCATGAGCTCTGCCTTCTTACATGGTCTTGACTCTGAGCCATGTAAATAATATGTATTCAAAGATAAATTTAAATTTAAGAAGAGGGAAAAGAAGAATTCCTAAAATTGAATACAAACTGAACAAATAAGCCTAAGGTACAACCACACTTTTTTTTAAAAAGACTAATTCCTGTCAATCTAGAAAAGTACTGTGTGCCTTCTTAGGGAGATGTATTGAAAGCATAAAAGAATGGCAAAGAAACTGGGAACGCCTCTCCAGTATGTTTGTTATTAATTATAATACTGGATTATAATTTCAAATGATTTATATTTTTTGGAAAAGGCAAATAACTAAATAAACATGTCCTTCTTATGAGAAACAATTATTTTCACTCTTAAAAAAGAAATGACAAGAAGGTAAGAAAAATCCCTGCAAAGTTCATTTGAATTGTGCCTGTTAGTATGAATCAATCTGAGAATCTGAAAGAATAATGACTATAGTTGAATATCAAATAGTCCATGAGGCTTATGATGAGACAGGGTGGAATAACCTCCAGTATCATTAGTGATGTAATTCCTGAGTAAAAAAAGGTAAACTGAAAGGATAAAAAATGCTTGTGTGACTTTTCTTTTAAAGGTAACACACAATTTGAATAGTGTTGTATGCAAAAAGAAGTTACTTGGGAGATTATGGGTGATTTGAAACATTTTCTTTAACCTTACATGTAAAACTTTATATTATGCAGATGCTTGACAATTTCAAATCACTTCAATGGGTTCACGTTAACCTCCAATTCTCATGTACATTTTATTGGAATCTCTGCTCTCATGCCTAATGTATCAGCTGCATTCTTGTCATTTCTTCCAAGTTTATGCAGACAGGATTCTTATGCTTTTCAAATAAACAGCATTTCTTGTTAATTCCATTGAAGACTCCAGTGAAAAGATACCCTCTAACTCACCCAGGTCAAGACTTGCAAGTGATGTTTTGCCAAAAGGCAGCTTTGATTTCAATTTCCTAAGATTTATAATCAAAAGGATGCCTCATGAGGACACCCCATTTTGGATTCCTATCACCATAAACACCCACAGCAGTGAAACAAGTTGAAACTTGACTAGAAACTGGGACCCAAATTCTAATCAAGGCTCAGAAGGGCACGGCCTTCACCTGTGGAATTGCCTCCTCATATATCGAGATTTGGATGTCATCCTGGGGCCCCTCTCCCTGCTTCTAACCTCTCCAAACGAAGCCTTTTAACTTGACACTGGAATGAAGAGCAAATCAAAGGTTTCTGCAAAAGCTGCTGCTCCCTTTCTGGATCATTCCACAGGCTCTACCCGGAACAGCTGGGAATGAAGACCATTTTATCTAGAGCAGGCATGCTGCAAAGTGACCCACACAGTTGTGTGGTGGCTTAAACAGACCCTTTTAAAGTGTCTGGCGTTTTAGACACTTAGCATCTTGTGACATGAGACTAGCCTTTTAGTAAGTCCTCATCTCGACAAGGTTCCTGGGCCAGTCATTCCGACCTTGTAGCTGCTCAAATGAGTTCTAGAGAGCAGGGGCTCCAACTAGACATGTATTTCCTCCCGGTTCTGGAGGTGAAGGCCGAGATCACGGTGTCAACAGGGGAGGCTTCCTCCGGAGGCTGTCTATACAGGGTCTCTGGGCGCCCCGATCGTCTCTGATGACACACCAGTCAGACTGGATGAGGGCCCACCCTGACAGCCTCATTTTAACTTCATCACCTTTAAAGACCCCCATCTCCAAATACGATTAGGATTTCCACATATGGATTTTGGGAGATACAATTCAGCCATAACCGTTCATGCTTTTTCTTTTTCACATATTTTGACATGCCTTTAGAGTTGTTTAACTAGGTATTAAGAAGACATAAAACCCAAAAGATAGGCCTGTTTCATGTGCACGAAAAACGTTTAACTGATGTGCACAGAGAATCTGTGGTCTGACTAGGCGCTATACCTGCTGTGGTAGGATCTGAAAAACTTTCAGAGGACTTTGCCCTATGCAGCAGCTACAGGTGGAAAAAGTGAAATTCAGAACAAAAGCCAAAATTCATTCCATCACTCAACAGTCATTTCCTGGCTGTACTTCACCCAAGGATATTTTTCCATTGTTTTTTTGAGTGTTTTTTTGTTTTTTTTTTAGGGAGAGTGGAAGGGGGGGGGGAGAAACACTAATGTGAAAACACTTGATTGGTTGCCTCCTGCACGAGCCCTGACCAGGGCCTGGGCCAGAGAGGAGCCTGCAACCAAGGTATGTACCCTTGACCGAAACCGAATCCATGATTCTTGTGTCCGCAGGCCGATGCTCTATATCCACTGAACCAAACTGGCTGGAGCTGACTGTGTGTGCTTTGACTGACCCATTAAGTGATGGGTCAAGTCTTCACTCAGCCCCATGCAAACCTTGTTTTCTCACATTTTTTCAAGGCAGTTCCCAGGCCTCCAGCATTTGAAGCACTTCAGAAGTCTGTGATGATCGCAGCCTCTACATCCCACCCGACTCAGTGAATCCTGCTGGGGGTCTGGGAACCTGCACTACAGCACCATCCCTTTGTCACCTCCAGTCTGGGGGAGTCTGTCCTGAGCTGTGTGCTGCCATCTACCCTTTCACTCTTCACCATGAGAAAGATCATGCTTGTCCAAGCTGCAAAACTGAAAATACATTTATTTCACAGAGCACTCAGTACAGGCAGAAAAAGACTATTTCCATTTGCTGTGTCATTGAAAACCCAGCACATCCTCTGACTGAAATTCACATAAAAGTTCCCCAAAGAGCCAAAACCGGCTTGGGGACTGAAAGGTCCTGGGTTCGATTCCGGTCAAAGGCATGTACCTTGGTTGCAGGCATATCCTCAGTAGGGAGTGTGCAAGAGGCAGCTGATCGATGACTCTCTTTCATCAATGTTTCTAACTATCTCTCTCCCTTCCTCTCTGTACAAAATCAATAAAATATATTAAAAAAAAAGTTCCCCAAAGAAATGAATCTAATGGTTTTACCCAAACAATAGTCTCTCTTCATTAGTCAGACCAGCACCTACTGAGAGGGAATGCACTGCAGACCTGACAGTGATATTTCTTAACAAAGATGACTCCACATAAGCTTTCAAGTGTCAAGATCAACTTCGAATGCCAGCGAGACTAATTCATCAGCCACCAGACTCAAAAGGGAAGTTACAGTAGGGTGGGCGTTATACTCTTCCTGGGAATCCAGCCCCACAACCTGCATGGGCAGGGGTCCAAGACAAAGCAGAGGCAGCAACTGAGCAGCGGGCCCTATTCCCGGGCAGAAACGCACAGACTATGCTCCTCCGGGGCTGTGTCCTTCTCCGAGGTCCGCTTCACTGGCTTCGTATTAACTTGGTCCTCCAGTCTGGCAGTGGCTATTTGGGAGATTTGGTTGTAATCTGTAAGTTCCAAGAACCTACGCTGGCTGATTCCAAGGGTAGCATGCCCTGTCCAATATACAGATGCCCTCAGAGTGTGAAGGCCCCTCTGCAGGTTGCACATATATGTCAGCGGTCTCCTGTGAGAGACAGAGCTCCTTCCTCTTCTGCAGAGAACAGTGCAGAGGCAGCGGCTTTGGCTAGCTCTTCCTCTTGTGCTCCCGCATGTGTGCAGCGATGGAACCCGCTATTTCTGCATTCCTCTTGTTCTGGCCATAATAATCGAGAAATTCCCCGTCTGGTCCAACCAAGTACATTATTATGGTATGGTCCACCTGCAGAGAAAGGGGCGAGGATGACAAGATTACCAGAAGAAGCTGCTTATTTTACAGGTTAGGTGCTGTGGATAACAGAACTTCACATTGATGTTTCAATAACTCGTGGCACCTATATTTACGAAACGGGCTGAAGCCTATCACAGTGACACGTTATCTCAGATAGCTTGTGTTCTAGAACTCTGCACTGACCATCGCTTGAAACATCAGCTATAATTTGGATTTCCTCTGGCTCAATCCTTAGCATATACACACAATCTCTGCGAAAAGAACCCACTTCTAAGAAACAGCAGCTCTCTAGCCTTTGTAACACAGTCAATGCTTGTGGGTGATACTCTCTTGGGAAGAGCTGACATTTATGAGTAAAATATTTCATCGGACCCTGAACCGTAAGACAAAGACAGAGCACATGGAATTAAAGGTGTTGGGGAGAAATCATGTTCTTCAGTAAGTTTTTTTTTCTTTTTAAATATATTTTTTATTTACGTCAGAGAAGGAGAGAGAGATAGAAACATCAATGATGAAAGGGAATCATTGATTGGCTGCTTCCAGCACATTGGACCGAGCCAGCAACCCAGGCATGTGCCCTTGACCGGAAATGAACCTGGGACCCTTTGGTCCACAGGTCGATGCTCTATCCACTGAACCAAACCAATTAGTGCTTCTTCAGTAAGTTCTTGGGTATATGCCTTTCTTTGGGGAGAACTGGCTGGCTGTCAAATAACTCATCACAACCTGAATTCTGCTTACCATATTTCATGAGAAGAAACCAGAAAACCAACTAACTATAAAAGTTACAGACTCGAACACAGTATTTAGTCCTGATATCAGTGATTCAAATGGAAACATGGCAACAGGTGTCTTTCTCCCACAGGAGATTTTTACACTGCACCAGACAATCCTATCCGAAGCAAAGCACCGGGAAACTCCTGAGGAGCCATAACCCTACACCTCAGAGGGATCACCTAAAATCCACTATTCATTTTCCAGGCAAAGTTCTTAAAATAGTCCTAGCTCTAACTTAAGTTTAGAGTAGTCACCAGTCTTTCTGAGTTATCCAATTCCACAAAATCCCATTTCAAATGAGCAGAAGACTGGGAATTTAGAGTCCTTGGAATTTACTGCAGGCTTGATTGCTATTTGGCAAGATTAAAAGACAGGAATGTGATCACACATACCAAACTGGAGACAGCCCTCAAATATATCCGAACATACGGTATATGTGTGAGGTAATTACTTTTTTATAAACACACATTCATAAAGACACAGCAAATGGAAAGAGCCACCTGCCCACTCAGCGACGGAAAGAATGTACAGCGCAGGCTCAAGCAGCTGTGACTTCATGTCTTGGATCTTTTACTGCAGGAACAGGACAGGGGCTCTCTGCTTCTCCCCCATTTGAAATATTGATCAGAACTAGGTCTCCAGCTCATCTTCAAATCTTATCCTGAAGCTCAACACCCCCCCTCCGCTTCTTCCTTTTCTCTATCTCTATCTAAAAACAGAATTTCAGTGCACTGAACTTACTCTGAGTATTCTTAATATAAGTTACTTCCTAACACATAATAAAAATATTCTACCATTCATGTATGTCAGACTTGTCAGTAGTCAAGTCTCAAAGCACATTTGGTTAAGGGCAGAGCAAACTGCCACCTGTTTTTAGCGTAGGATCCTTTAAAGTTCCTAGTAGAGAAAAATAAACCAAGCCACCCTGGCCAGGGCACAAGCTCTTTCCATTGCCACCTTAACTCACGGGATAGGTATTAGACAACAAAATAGGCTGAGAGGATAAATTATCAAATTGGTAAATGCCAGACCGAAGCTTAGAACCTAGATCTGTCCAATTTCAAAGTCCTCAATCATTTTATATCACATTGCCACTATCTCTACTTGATATACACGCACACACCTTTTAATTTTTGAAAAGGTAACCTATGTTCATAAACAAGCACAAACTTATTCAATGAAAGTCCTCCTCCTCTTCCAGACCCTCCGAGTCCTCAGTTCTCCTTAGAGGGAACACCGCTGCCAGTTCCTCGGTGTTCTCCTAGAGCAGGGGTGGGGAAGGTCCAGCTCGTGGGCCGCAGAAGGCCCATGAAATCACTTGGTCTGGCCCTGCCAAGGCATTAGGGGTGAGTTCGTTAATGTCTGACCACATATAGCAGCTAATTTTTAAGTGGATAAATTTGTAAGGCCTGGGGATGATGCTATAAATATCTACATGGCCCTTGGCAGAAAAAAGGTTTCCCCCTCTTGTCCTAGAGAAAGTCTTTGCCTTTGTTAGTGTCAGTTTCTATCTTCTTATTTCTTTTACCACCTGTCACCTATTTCTCTTTACAAAGAAGTAACAATATACTGTGCTTTTCTTCTCATTTAGTGGTGTACTGGACATTGTTCTATTATCAGAACATACAGAGTAAGCCTTTAAAAAAATGGTTGTCTGGTTTTCAGTCTTTTTAGGAGCAGTGCTGTAGGTTATAGCTACAGGATAAATTCCAAACAGCAGAACCTCTAACCTAAAGAGTATCTGACAAACTGCCCTCTGAGGAGGGTGTTCCCGTCAGCAACGCAGGAAGTACCTCATCCCAACAGCACCTTGGCTCTTTTCCCAAATTCTACTTTGACAACGTATTTCAAACGTTTGATCTCTGCTGACCTAAGTAGTGAAAATGGCACCGCAAGTCACATGTCTTTCACTGAGTGACACTGAACATGTTTTCAGTTTGAAAGTCATTTATATTCTTTGTCAAAAGTAGTTTTTAATGCATACAAAATCACATGACATCACATGCATACAGCGCAGTACTGTGCACATTTAGCTTTCAGTGGATTCCCGAATGTCTGGCACACCAGTACACACACTACCATTCCGAGGGCTCCACTGGCCTTTGGAAGCCAGAGGCATACCTTTTGCTGCTGCTGTTTGAGACTAAAACCTCATTCCATTACAACTCCCTGCCTCTTTGCAGTTCCTAGCACTGCAACAGCAATTTCCCACACCATCTTGTGGATGAAAATCTGTGACTTCCAGGGCAGAAGCCATACTAATGATGAACCAAGAAACTGGCGAGTGTCTCCCCCTACTGGTTGATTTGGCAGACAGAGCAATGAACTCCACATTGTTCAGATAAAAATATTAACATCCCATTCTGGATTATGCACACAGTACAAATCTCAGTGCCCAAATTCGAAACCAGTTAATACAACTCTCTTTTATATAAAGTACATAAGCTGGAATTTCTTGCCATGGCTTCCTCTCTCATTCTTCTCATGCTGCTGGTGCAACAAGGGGAAACCACAGCAGGGTTTCCTCTTTCCTTAAACTTAGGGCTTAAGGAAATATGCTAATTTCTGTCTTTCCCGCCCCCCCTCATGAATCCAAGTTTCCCTAAATCCAGGAAGCATCAGAACTGGAAAGTAAGAGTACGGAAAATGAGATTAAAGCAAAGGGACCAGAAGCCTAATTTAGGCTGTAGGCTTCAGTGTGCCCCAGGTGCAAAGGTGACGGAGACCGCAGGGCCGCAGACAAAGCACACAGTGAGGTGTCCCCTCTGCACAGTGCTCTTGGAAATGAGCCATGGCAAGCCAGAGATCAATGACTCAGGATCCTGGCCATCTGTCTTTCTATAAAACAGCTTTGCTACTGAAAAAGCTCTTCTGATTTATCACTTTTGTCCATCCAAATTAATACAGAAACCAGAGTATGAAAATTGAAGAAAAAAATGGAAATGATACTAAAATACAATGTCAACTTAAAAAAAAAAAAATATATATATATATATATATTTCTATTGATTTCAGAGAGGGAGAGTAGAAACATCAATGACGAGGGAATCATTGATTGGCTGCTTCCTGCATGTCCACAATGGGATCTAGGCCCCAAACTGGGTATGTGCCCCGACTGGGAATCAAACCCTGACTTCCTGGTTCAAAGGTTAATGCTCAACCACTGAGCCATGCTGGCCGGGCAATGTTAGTTCTTAATGTGATGGGAAACCTTCCTATTTAGAAAACCGAATAGAGCAGTGTGCATGCCCCTTGGTGGTGCTTCACTGTGAAGCCACTGGTAAGAAACGGAACCCAGGAACTTGGGCATTAGCCTGTGGCTCCTGGGCAGTGCTCATGAAAGTAGATAGCTCTTGAATGTATGAGATACAGAAAAACAACTTAACGGAATTTCTGTTCATCATCAAAAAGCACATATTAAACACGTAATGGTGCCAGTCATATAGAGATATAAAAATACACCTGTCCTAGCCAGATTGGTTCAGAGTATAGAGCTTCGGCCTGCAGACCAAAGGGTCCCAGGTTCGATTCTGGTGAAGGACACATACCTTAGGTGCAGGTTCCTCCCTGGCCTAGGCCCTAGTCGGGGCTTGTGCAGGAGGCAACCAGTCGATGTGTTTCTCTCACATCAATATTTCTCTCTCTTCCACGGTTCCTAAAAATCAATGGGAAAATATTCTGGGGTGAGAATAAACAACAACAAAAAGTGTCCTTGGGTAAGGATTAACGAAGAAAAAAAAGGACAAAAAAGAAAATACACCTTATAGGAAGTCTACCTATCTGTGACTATCCTATTTTCTCTTGCTTTTCAAAATTCTTATTCATTCAACCCAAAAATACAGTTCCTCAAGGCCAGACACTGCTTCTCAAAAGAAGCATATTTCTTTGACCACTTCACAGGGGACACAGAAACAATACGATGCTTTTAACAAGTAAAAAAACTTTGCTCCAAAATGCTGGCTTCTCTTTATTTCCAATATGGTATAAAATATGTTCTGTTGTTTCTAAGGCACCACTAATTTTATATTGCCCTGTAATTTTTCTAAGTTATATCTAGAAAAGAAAAACAGACAAGTAAATTACGGGAATATATAATATATTAAATAAGCATCCTTAAAAAATTATACTTCTACTCTACTTTCAAATATCCCTAGTTCCTAAGGAATTTGCAAAAATCTCAGCTTTTCTTTCCTCTCTGATGCCAGTCATTTAAACCTATATGAACACCTGAGCCCTCAGAGTTGGTCTGTGGGTAGAAACCTGAGCAAGTACTTACTATGTAGTCCTCATCTTCGTCCCTGGGGCCAGGGCTGTAATACACTCGGTAAGCTCTGGCTACTTGATCAATCTCTTCTTTTGTGCCAGTCAAGCCAACCAGTTTGGAAGAAAATTCTTTAAAAAAAAAAAAAAAAAAAGAGAGAGAGAGAAGACAGTGAAAAATGGGAAGCGCACAAAACAACCTATCCCTACATGGAAAAGCAGTACTAGTATAAAGCAGCCCTATTGCTACTTTCTTCCTGTGAGTCCCTAAAAATTTCCTCATGTTTCAAAAGGAAAAAATATTCACATAGAGAACAAATAAAATTTCTCCTGTTATATATAAGTCACATTGAAATTAAACTAAAAATCAGTAATAGAAGATAGATAGAAAATTCCAAAGTATGTGGAGATGAACACACTTCTAAATAACACGGGTCAAAGAAATTTCAAAATAGAGTAAAAAATATTTTGAAAAATGAAAATGGAAATGCAACTTACCCAAATTTGTGGGATGAAGAAAAAGCAGTGCTTAAGAGAGAAATTTATAGCACTGAATGCATACAATAGAAAAGAAGATCTAAAGTCAGTAAGTTTCCTCCTTAGGAAACTAGAAAAAGAAGAGCAAATTAAATCCAATATAAGCATAAAAGAAAAGTGAGAGCAGAAATCAATGGAGTTGAAAAACAGGATATTAATATAGAAGATCAATGAAACTGAAAATTGGTTCTTAATAATCTGTCATATCCTTTTATGACTATCTAGTTAAGAGGGAATATATTCTACTTATTTAAGTCACATTTATTTAGTTGTTTTTAAATGATATGCTAAAGTTCAAAGATACAGTCATGAATTAAGCACTATAGTTTTTATCTTCATATCAAACTAGAGGCCTGCTGCATGAAAATTCGTGCTCCCTAGGGGGATCAGGCCTAGGCTGGCAGTCAGACATCCCTCTGGCAGTCCAGGAGCCCCCAGGGGATTCGAAATAAGGGCCTAAGCAGTTAGTCGGACTTCCTTAGTGCTGCCACAGAAGCAGGAGCGAGGCAGGAGAGGCTCCTGCCACACTGTTGCACTGGTATGCCATGAGTAGGCTTTTGGCTGAGCAGTGACCTGTGGATGAGCAGTGACCACCAGGGGTTAGCTCCTGTGTTAAGCATCTGCCCTCTGGTGGTCAGTGCATGTTATAGCAACCAGTAGTTCCTGGTCGTTCTGCTCTTAAGATCAATTGACTTATTACCCTTTTATTATATGGGATCATATGAGATAAAATTTTGTCTCATTAGTTCACACTAGGTCAAAATATCTGTATCTCATTTCCCAGCAAATAATCTCATACTACAAATCTGCTGTTAACTTTTAGGAATTTATGTACGTAAGCTGGTTAAAGTCACTTAAAACACCTGGATTCATCAAACTATTAAAGGGATAGTCCAACATGTAACCATAGTACCTTCTTCTAAAAGTTGAGAAAGCCTATTTTCATTCCTTGGACTAATTCATTTTAAACTGAAAAATTGTTCAGGTTCTGAAAAAGCAAGATGGCTTGTCTTTCTTCACTGCTCTGTGAGTAAATGAAGAGAAAGTAAAAGAAGCCTGAACTAGTTGCACATCCAGATCTTTTTTAAATTGTTGAAATTTCAATAATTTTCTGGCTACTAATTTAAATATTTTGAAATCCCCCCAAATGCAATTACTAATGATTACTTCACCAATCACTGTCATAGATGCTGTTGAAGAATAGCATCACAAAGTTTTTTTGTTTGTTTTTCATCACAAGGTTTTGGCAGTCTAGTTAAGTGCAGCAACTCAGCTATCTATTCATTTGGGGACATTTATAGTTTGACTACTATTCCTGCTTTTTCTTGCTTTAGAAAATATGCTATTGCCCAAAAGTTTCTGACAAACTTGGAAACTATGAACATTAATTCTACTTTTACACACTAAAAACTCTAAAGGAGAAAACATAAACCATTGTAACCTTAGATTATGCAAAGATTTCTTACATATAAAGCTAAAAGCATTATCTATACAAGAACAAACTTATAAGCTGGATCTCATCAAAATGAAAAATTGCTCTTCAAAAAACGTGGCTAAAATGACAAGCCATTGGAGAAAATATTTGCAAATCATACACTTCATAAAAAACTTCTATCAGGAATATAAAAAAATTAATAAATAAAAAAAAACAGCCCCAAAAGATATAAAGAGACACTTTTTACTGAAAAAGACATGCAATGGCAAACAGCATGAAAAAAATGCTCAACATAGGAAAACACATTAAAACCACAATGAGGTGTATATCCATGCTCCGAGCAGCTTTATTGGTAATAGTCAAAAATTGGAAATAACTCCAGTGTCCATCAACTGAATACTATTCAGAAATAAAAATGAATGAACTATTGATACATTCTATAACATGGAAGAATCTCAAAATAATTATGCTAAAAGAAGCCATTCAAAAAAAGAGTATATATTCTATAATTCTCTTTACATCAACTTCTAGAAATACAAACTAATCTACATAAACAGCAAGCAGATCAGTGATTGCCCGAAGCCAGAGGGTGGGTGAAGTGGAGGGGAAGGAGGGAGGGATTAGCAAGGGTACAAGGAAGCTGCTGAAGGTCATGGATCCTTTTTGTGGTGACGGTTTCCCAAGCACACACATATGTCAAAAGGTAACAAACTGCACACTTAAATATATACACTTTATGTCAATTAGAGCTCAATAAGTCTGTTAAATAATAAAATATATAGTAAGGTCCTTCACAAAACACATTTTTAAAAATAACCTCAAAGGTTTAGAGGACATGTGCACTGGACTGTGTCATAATAAAAACAAAATAAAACTATTCACTAGTCATTCTGTCCAGTAATTTAAAGCAATTTCACCATAACTAGAATTTAAATTCCTAATTTTTAAGCACCTACCTTCTGCACACTAGTATAAGAACAAAACCTATCTGATCAGATTTTTATTATCAACATACTTTTAAGTTGAAAAAAACTTGAATCCAGAGAAATTAAGCAACTCACCCAAGCTCCTAAGACCTAAGTATTCACCTTTAATTCTACCATAATTTAGTCTTTAAAAGTACCTAATAGGTTTTGACCTGCATGTTGAGATGTTTGAATTGAAATCCTTCCACTAATAGTTATGTTTTTGTCATAATCAATATTTTGAGTTTATAAAGTATGCCCTGAGTTCAAAATGTGCTTACATAAGATTTATTTTTTTTATTATTATTTTTTTAATACATTTTATTGATTTTACAGAGAGGAATTGAGAGGGACAGAGAGTTAGAAACATCGATGAGAGAGAAACATCGACCAGTTGCCTCTTGCACACCCCCCACTGGGGATGTGCCCTCAACCAAGGTACATGCCCTTGACCGGAATCAAACCCGGACCCTTCAGTCCACAGGCCAACGTTCTATCCACCAAGCCAAACTAGTCCCGGCCATAAGATTTATTTTTAATCTCCCAATATACACACTCTCAGAACGCACACAATATTAATTTTACAAAGGAGAAAATGAGATACACAGGCAGAATTAGAAACAAGGCGTCCTTACTCTCAATTCAAGACTTATTAACTTTGCTGATCTACGAAGGCTGATTTCAGTTCCCCCACCCTGACAAATAAAAGGACCCCTGCCCCAGGAATTAAGAAGCCTGTGTCTTATTTATGTACTAGCCATAGTCACAACTCTGAGCCTCATCTTTGTATTTGACTATAAAATTGGGGATAACATTTGTCCTCACTATTTCACAGGCATTTTTAAGATCCAAATGAGTTGATACTGCAAAAACTGTAGAGCTAAACAGATACAAGTATTATTAATGGAACACACCTTTTACATAATTTGCAATGGCTTCTTTTGTGTCCCTCTCTGGGTCAATAGTGATGAAAAGTGGAGTTAAATCCGGCAGAGTTGGAATATCATCTGAAAGAAAGTGCCGGTTAGTCAGTATTCACACTGTAAGGGAAATGACAAAGAAAACCAGCAATTACAGTAGCTACAGCATGGCTTAGGGAAACAGGCACATCTGACACTGTGTTACATGACGGGGAAGGGGATGGCATGACCTTGAGGAGAAACAGATCGGTATGCTGTCTGTGGTGGCATCAGATAACCTACCAAATACCTGCACCAGCGTATCCTGTCTCCTAATCCAACCCAATATTGTAGGGTTATTCCCCCCACCATGCCCAAAGGTAGGGCAAACTATTCATAAGAACCGAATAGCCTGGGATAATTCATTTTAAGAAGGATGTGGCCTGTCTTTTATTGGTACTAACAAATGCCCCTGACTGCACATCAGAGACCATCCTCAAATTTCAGTCTAACCAACAATATCTGGGAAAGGCAACAGTGGAGTCAATGATGGAACTCTGCTTTGTGTCCACAACAAAGGAAGGGACCCAACGCAGAGTTAAGGGAGACCCAGACCACACTGACATTTTTTAAAAATCCTCACCTGAGGGTATTTCTCCACTGATTTTTAGAGAGAGTGAAAGACAAGGGGAGAGCAGAGAAACATCCATGTCATCTGGTTACCTCCCATACGTGCCTGCACCAGGACTGGGGATTGAGCCTGCAACTGAGGTACATGCCCTTGACCAGAAATTGAACCCAAGATGCTTCAGTCGGTGGGCTGACGCTCTATCCATTGAGCCAAACCAGGTAGGGCCACATTGACATTTTTGAGCAAACTAATATTTAGCATAATAACCAGCTTCTTTTGGTGGAGAATTTATAGGTCATGGAAATCCAAGCAACAGACAAGCCTAACACTAAGATTTTATGTTCACGCAAACCAAATAATTACAAACCTCCATCTAACAGTAATAAAAGAATGTGAAAAGCATAGTAACATTAAGGACATTGAGTAAATATATATACTTTTCATAGTAAGTGATGGCTTCCTTACCTATTTCATCCACGACTTGAATCATTTTTTCCAGTTCTTCGGGACAAACATCAGGGCAATGAGTGAATCCAAAATAAATCAATACCCACTGACCCAGGTAGTCCTTATCAGTTTTGTGCTCTCCAGTATGAGTTACGAGGGAAAATGGTCCCCCAAGTAGAGGCTTTCCAATGCTTCGCTGCCGTTCCTTCTCCAGCTCTTAAAACAGAGACAAAGACACACACACACAGAAAAAAAATCAATATAACCATAGGTACTCAATACCTGATGTATGATCCATACTATACTAATGGCTGTATGGGCACAATATGTAGAAGAAGTGATGTCAGTTTTCAAGAACCTTAAAAAAACCTGGTAAGGAAAATAAGTATACAAAAACCAAAATCAAATTAAATCTAATGTGTACTAAAGACTTTAAGAAACAAAAATATTTGGTAAAAGTATTTCTTCTGGAACAATTCAGTCCTGAGCCAACAGGTGTGCCATGATGCAGGTGAGAGGGGGCATAGCTATACAGAATGTCTGAGCCCAAAGGGCACGGTGGGTGACCTGCCACTGTAAGTCTGAGCCTGAGTGTGCTGAGGGCAGCTGTATGCTGAGGGGAGGGGACAGTGGTGATGGGAGCTTACTTATTTACTGGGAATTGATCAAGTAAATAAATACACTGAGTGGCCAGATTATCATGTGTTCAGAGATCATAATAATCTGTCCACTCGGTGTATATTAGAGATAAGAGAGTTACAAATGGGCAAGGAGTTAGAACAGTAAAGAAAAAAAACTAGAATGAAAACTTGCAGTACTGAAAAGAAACTGGAGGTATAATATGAACTTATGGTTTATATAGATACAGAAATATAGATTTAAATATATATATATATAATATCTCTTACCTAGCTCTGTCTACTGAGAGGAACTGGGAGAAGACACATTGAATGAACTCAGATAACAATATTAACCTGAAAGTCAAGTAAAAACTGAAAAACTTTCAGATTGAAGACTAAAAAAGCAACTAGGTCTGAGGGTGGCTCTAAACCAGACAACTTTGGCCATAAAAGGCATCAATTGCACCACTTTAAGGAGGTCTGAACACTGAACAGTAAAGCATATCAGTGTCCATTTCCTGATTTTGAACACTGTACGTGATTATATTGAAGAATGTCCTTATTTGTAGAAATATACAATAAAGTATTTGGAGATGCTGAGGCATCATGTCAAGCAAATATTTTCAAATGATTTAGGAACACTTTTAAGATATTATACCATAATACATTTTCAATAAAAAATATTACTAATTGCACGTGAAATTCCAAACTAAAGTCAAATGAAGCTTGCATTTCCTAAAGCACTTCCTAGCTTTTCAGTTTTATTTCACTGTGAAACTAAAGAAACTTAACTGCCTATAAGAATATGAAAATTATACCAATAAAATACTACATTATACAAAAGAAAAGTCTAAATATCTGCATGAATCTTATATTGCTCAGGTTCTAAAGCGTATGAATTCTCACTCCCAGATTTAAACATCATCCTTTGCATAATAGCATCAAAAGAGACACTAAAAAAATCAACAGATTCAAGTGATATTGTCAAGATTTGCTGAAACCTTCTAAAGCAAACCTTAAAAAGTCCTAGAATACTCGCTAAAGTATAAACCTCCTTTAAACAATTTCTAAACATTTCAAATGTCTGTCCCAAGAGGTTTCTAGCTTTCTTTCTCTCTGTCTTCCATGGTCAGTCTCTTGCCTTTCTCCATCTGCTAACACCCAGTGGTGTTTATAGTGAGCCTTCCTTTGGCCCCCAGAGCACCCTGGACTTCCTTCCCTCTGGCCTGACAGAACTTCAGCTAGTAAAATCTTTACTTCAGTGTGTTTCCCTATCACAGCATCTCAAAGGCTGGAATGCATCTTGGTTATCTTTGTAGCCGCTGGACTTCGAACTACCCACATTCAAATCTGCCCAAAGGGAAGTCATTTCATATTGTTGGACAGTGCTATGCTGGACTGGATCCCAGAACAGAGGTGCTAGTCCATAGGCAGAAAAGATGTTATTGGGAACTGACCAAATGATATCTACTCACTCTCCGTCTTCTCCTTCTTGAAGTACTTCATTCCGGCCAATAAAGCTCCTCCAATAGCAAACGTGACTGCTAAGGACTTCCAGGAAACAGGCTACTGGGGCAGAGATGTCAAAACCAAAACCACTAGTAAGAGGCAGACATTTAACCATACTAAGCAAATGACAGTAGTTTTAAACATAAAAACAGAGGCCTTGATCGTGTTCAATGTGCAGAACGTCTCATGTTATTTGGGATGAGGAAATCCTGAACGTTGCTGGGGATGCAGTTGTATCTGGGCTCCGAAACACAACCACAAAGGCAGTTTCCAAGGTCAAATCCCCTAAGTCCATTTCTTTTCATTTGGGGAAAAAAAAAAAAGAAAAAAAAAAAAAAAAAAAAAGACTAGCAGTATGCCTCTGGTCCCAACCGCTGACTTGAAAACCAGTTAAGCTTGTGCTGGTATTGTGAATATAAATAAACCAAATACAATTTGGAACAGAGGCAAAGTAGAAGAGGCTGCGGGGGAATTCCTGCAAACCATACTTTTATTTCCTTGTTCTCTTCTCAAGTCCCAAGAAGTGGGTGGACTGCGTAGGCACAACTCAGTAACATCGCCCCCTCCCCCCCACCAGCTCCGAAAATCACTTCCCTCACCTACCACCTGGAGGTGCTGGCTTTTAAGTTCTTTTTGGGTCAGAAGAACCTGAAAGAACACCAATCTCAAAAAAAAAAGGGGGGGGGGGGGTACATATCCAGCAGGCAACAACGATCCATATTTTGCTCCATTTCTACATATACCCCGAACCTCCGAAGGGTCGAAATTCTAAAAATGCTCGGACTCCCCCACAATGCTAAGTTTCAGGCTGAGAACGCTACAGGAAACCTAACAATTTGATCCAGGGAAGCCGGCTGAGCCGCAGGCGATCTCAGGCCCGGCCGAGTGGTTTCTGAGGTTCTGACCGGGTGGGAGGGTTGTCCGACGGCCGCGACGAGGGAAGAGGGTGCTGGGCACTCACCCCGGGCTTCGAGGGGCGCGAGGAGCCTCGGGGGCCCTTGGGCTCCGGCCCCGGCGCCCCGGGCGGCGGCGGCATGGCGGAGCTGAAGCGCCGGCACGCCGGGCAGCCGCGGGGGAGCCCCCGGGCCCGCCATCCCTCCTCCTGCCGCGCGCACAGCTGCCTCAGGAAGACGCCCAGGGCCCCGCGGGCCGGGCCCCACACCCCGAAACCCCGCGGCGAGAGGAAGCGAAGCGGACTGCCCGGAAGCAGCATGATCCGGCCCGCTCCCTGCAATAACGCCGCCATTGAGCTGCGGAGGTCACGCCTCCTTCGGCCCACCCCCTCGGCTTCCGGTTCCGCCTTGACTTCCTCCGGAAGTCGGAGTGGCTGCTCTTCCCGCCCGGCTCCGCTCGTTGGTGACGCGGTGGGGTTAGTCCGGCCGCCCTTCGCTCGGAGCTGCGCGCGGTAGGTGGCTCCTCGCGGTCGGAGGCGGGTCGCCCCGGGCCGGGCGGCGGGACGCTTGGAGGAGGGGCCGTCTGGGCGTCCCGGCTTCGCGGCGGGGCCTGGGCCCGGCGGCCCGAGCGCTACGGGCCCCTCGCTCCCCGGGCAGCTCCCGGCCTCGGGGAAAGGAAAACGGGGTCCGCAGACTCGCGAGCCCCCGCAGCCCTCACCCCACCTTGCCGCCCGCCTCCTGCCTGGAATGGGGGCCGCCAGTTGGCTGTTGACCTCTTTGCACCTCCAAGCCGACCCATTGGCTTGAAGTGATTATTGCTGATAGCAAGGTGACCAGGCGTCCCGCTTTTGGCGGGACAGTCCCGATTCCTAATAATTTGTCCCGCGGCGTTTCAAAAAAGTCCCGATTTTTTTTAAAAAAAGATTACAATCGGGACTTTTTTGAAACGCCGCGGAGCAGATGGTTAAAAATCGGGACTGTCCGGTCACCTTATAATAGGGATGATTTCAGTGGTCGGAGTAGCAGGGGCGAGCCGAGTAGGACGGTGATGCCCAGGCTCCAATGTAGCCGGAGGGCAATTAATGGCACCGGGCGAAGCGGATGCACCGCTTCACATCCCACCCCTGAACTTTCTCCCCGGCCCCAGGTGCTTAAAAAAAGCTCTCGTCCACTCCCCTGCCCCCTCCGCGGTTTAAGGTTTGGGTGAGGTTTTCTCGCCTGGGACTGCCTTTGGGGCGGAAGGACCGCAGCCCGATCTATAGTCATTCCTTCTGAAAGTTGAACTCTGCATTCCTTTTATTCTGCCTTTGCCTCAGTGTCTGTGATCGTAACCCCTCCCCTCCCGACTTCCCTGATGGGATTTGCAAAATCCAGAAAAAAGGGAGAAGTCGCCTTCTATAATAGTTTTCTTCCTTCGCTTCAGATCCCACTCCTGTTCAGTGGCTTCCACGGAGCAGAAGCAGCTCGGCCCTGCGGGCGAGGGCGGCACCGAGCCAAGTGTGCTCCTCTGGGGTGGGGTCTAGCGTCACCCATGTTTTTTTTTAATTCCGAAGTTGAACTGGAATTTTCTTGAATTTCTGCTCAAAGTAAATGTTTGCTCAGCACTTCAAATCCAATTTTCTGCCTTGGAGTTGCCAGTGGGTAGGAATATTTTTTACCCTCATGTCTGTGTGTTTGTATGTCCAAGGAGAAATTTTCCCTCAAATTGACAAAAAAGCCAAAAAGACAAAAGCACTTTTGCTTATGCAGGCAATGAGCGTATGGAATTATTGTTCGTCCTTTTCAATTGTAGGCTAATTGATTACACACACATATCCTGTACATTTAAATTGAATTCGGTGGTGCTTCTTGCTGGTCAATTAAATTTTGTTTACCAGAGTGATTCTTTTCATAGCTTGTTTATCAGAGCATTTTTATACAAACTTTTCATATTAAATTTATGATGTTAAGTAAATATTATAGTAGTTTTTAAAAAAGTAGGTACTGTATAGCTATCCTTAGGATGAATTGCTTAGTGACACTTCTGAGCCTGATTTTCATGGACCTATGCAACGTTAGTGTTAAAAGATACCTAAAATATTATCTAATGTAAGCTTATCACTTACTATCAAACCACCAAGATCCCCAAATGAAGTTTTCTTAAAAAAAAATTCTTTTCCATTTAAATACTTTACTTGAAAGAGAGAATACAAAGGATCATCTGATAATGCTGGTTATATTTTGTCCTGGCTTTAGACTGTTTTGACTAGGGCTGCCAGGCCTTACTTTCCGGAAACCTTCCCTGCACTGTAACTTTATCCTTCATTTCCGGTCCAGACATCTACCCCATGTGTCTAGCCACAGAAATTTCTGCCTCAATTTTGCCATTACTGCAATAGTTAGCACAGTTCCATTTCCAGGCCGCCCTCCCCCTTGCCTTCCTCATTCCACTGCCACCTCGCCCGTGGACTGTGCAATAAAAGCTTTGCTCATCCACTTGAGTAACACTCTTCTGGCTTAGACTCTCAGCATCTCTCTATTGGAGCAGTTCCTCTTAACGAAGACTCACTAATTTCTGGATTTGTCATCCCTCCCATTTCTTGATCTTTGACAGTAGTGTAAAGGAAATATTCTTTTCAGTGTCGGGCTGTCTTTCTCCACAAGATGGTTAAAGAACTTCAGCCTTCTGCCAGTCCTGATTATTACAGAAGTTTTATTAGTATCCTCTCGGAGCATCTTTTCAGCAATTAAGCATCTATAGGTATTTCTTCTCTTCTTAAAAATCATTGATGTCTGCTGTGATTTTCACAAAATGCTGGCTGCTTATCCTGCCCCATGACTTATCGAGAAAAACTTGCAAAGTTTTCTATATAATTTTCTTCTATAAAAAGTTTCAGGTACTTTGAGGTTGACCAGGCAGACATCCTTTCAGATATGTAATTAAAAAATATTAACATTTAGTGCTTTATGATTTACAAAGTAAATTACTGTGTATTAAAACTCAGATGAATATCACATCAACTGATGAGGATTATTTTGCTGGGAAGTTTTTTCCTTAATGTCCCAGTGAGGAGCCTGTGGGAGGTAGCTAATCAGTGCTTCTCTCTCATCCTATCTAATAAAGAAGGAATATGCTAATTGACCATCACTATGTCAAAAAGATGATTGCACCCACAGCTGAGGCCAAGTTCCCATAGGATCCTTAATCAACAATCAGCAGGGACCTGAGGCTACACCCTCCCCTGCCCCCATGGGGCTTGACAGGGGACCTCAGGCTGCACCCCCCACCCTGGCATCAGGCTGGGGGACTTAAGGCCACAGCCACTTTCCTGGCACCAAGCAAGGGGACCTGAAGCTATGTCTCCTTCCCGGCAGGGCTTGACAAGGGTGGGACTGGCTGAGTCTGGATCTAGCCCAATGGGGAGGGCCAGCCAGGTCTGGGTCTCACTCGATTTTGAGGTGCATGTAGGAGAGCAGGGACTTGGCTCTGGATCCTGTGAGCCTCAGACTCTGATTGGAGGAAGGTTTTCATATACGTTTTACTAATTTTCTTCCATCTCACACAAAGGCAAATAGCAATATTAAATTATTTCCTCTGATTAATCCCTCTCCCCCTTTTAAAAAAATTATATTTTTTATTGATTTTTTTACAGAGATGAAGGGAAAGGGATAGTTAGAAACATCCATGAGAGAGAAACATCAATCAGCTGCCTCCTGCACACCCCCCACTGAGGATGTGCCTGCAACCAAGGTACATGCCCTTGACCGGAATTGAACCTGGCACCTTTCAGTCCGCAGGCCAACTCTCTATCCACTGAGCCAAACTGGTTTCAGCATTAATCCCCTTTTAATGTGCACGAATTTCATGCACCAGGTCACTAGTCGTTAATGTTTCTGTCTCTTCCTCTCCTCTCTTTTCTTAAATCAATAAAGAACATGTACAAAACAACATAGAAAACAGCATTTGGTGCAGGCAAAACTTGCAGAACAAAAACTTGTTATTTTCCTTTCTTTTCAAAACCAAATTATTTCCTTAGTTATTCTAATTCTTTCAGACTTTATTTATTTAAATATATTTTTATTGATTTTTTACAGAGAGGAAGGGAGAAGGATAGAGAGCCAGAAACTTAAGCCCTTGAAATGCTTCAGTTTTTTTTATCTGTAAAATAGAGAATAACTTGTTTTCTTTAGAAGGGTATTAATTTCCAAGAGTATTATCCTATTAACGAATAGGCATTAATTCTAGAGAAATCAAATTCAAGTCTGTAATAATCTGTAATTTTTACAAAATATACACTAATTTTAAACAGGCACCCTCTTCCACAAAACCAATAATTCTATAAAAATTTCAGGATTTTTTTTTTTTTTTTGAAAGTCATACATTGTACTTTGTACATTAAATCCCTGCTGTGGGTTATTTTGTGTCTGTCTGGTTCTGTCTTTGTCTCTCTCTTCCCCTTCTACCTCCTACCTCCCTTCCACTTTCTCTAGAAGCTAATGAAAAAATATCCCAGGGTGAGGATTAAAAATAAAAATAATAAAAATAAATAAAATAAATAAATATATCAGGTGAGGATAAAAAGTAACAAGGTTATGGATAGGATATATGCAATTTTATTACATAAAGAAATTATTTTAAAAAAGACAGAAACTTAAATTCCCATACTGTGATCTCTTAAGGGAAAGATAAGAGGCAAGAGGAAAGGACACAAGCACATTCAAGGAAGGACAATTAGGATCCCAAGTGAGTAAGGTAGGGGAAAAAGAAACGGTCTCTCCTGATTAGTTCCAAGTCTTTTAGATCATGACTCAGGGAGCTTAGAAAGAGCAGAGAACAAAACTCAAAGATGTCTCCAGGGGCAAGATTTAAAATTAGTAAGATTAGTTAATTAATTCCAGGACTTTTTCAAAATATCCCCCCGTATCATCAAACACAAAAAATGTGAGCAAGTAGAGGATAATTGTAGAAGCTAGCAATGGTACATGAGGTTTATTCTCTCTGCTTTGTTTTTAAATGTCTACAATATTAAGTTTTAAATATCATTCAAAAGTTTAGATAAAATAAAGTCTGGCCAAAACTGGTTTGGCTCAGTGGACCGAGCGTCGGCCTGCGGGCTGAAAGGTCCCAGGTTCGATTCCGGTCAAGGGCGTGTACCTTGGTTGCAAGCACATCCCCGGTGGAGGTGTGCAGGAGGCGGCTGGTTGATGTTTCTCCCTCATCAATGTTTAGACTCTAAACCCGGGCACCTTCCTCTATACCAAGCTACCTAGTAAATTAGTTATTAAGTTTAAAATCCACTTTACCATGTAGAAGAGTAAAATGTTTATAACTGAGTTATCTTTTATTCTTTATATAGAAATCTGTTCAGAAATTATGGATGATAAGCCCAGTCCTGGAGCCGTGAGTGAGAGTTCAGAACATCTCTTCTCCTTTGGAGTTATAGCAGATATTCAGTATGCTAACTTAGAAGATGGCTATAATTACCAAGGAACCAGAAGAAGATACTACCGACACAGCCTTCTTCACTTGCAGGGTGCTATTGAACACTGGAATAAAGAAAGCCGTCCGCCCTGTTGTGTGCTTCAGCTTGGAGATATCATTGATGGCTACAATGCGCAGTATCAAGCATCAGAAAAGTCACTAGAAGTTGTCATGAAGGTGTTTCAAAGGCTTAAAGTCCCAGTTCACCACACGTGGGGAAATCATGAATTCTATAACTTCAGCAGAGACTACTTAACAAACTCTAAACTGAACACAAAGTTTCTAGAAGACCAGATTGAACACCATCCCGAAACTGTGCCTACGGGGAGTTTTTACGCTTACCATTTTGTTCCATTCCCTAAATTCCGGTTCATTTTACTAGATTCTTATGACTTGAGTGTCTTGGGCGTGGACCAGACCTCTCCAAAATACCAGCTGTGTTTGAAGATGCTGAAGGAGCACAATCCAAATTTGGAATTGAATAGTCCTCAAGGTGAATTATTCCTTTGAGCTGAGAGTCTAATACATTGTCTTTAAATTCTTCAGCTACCTTTTATTCAGCAGGAAGATGGATGATTAAGGTAAAAGTATATTGTCACTGTTGTTCAGGGTCAGGATTTCTCACAAACCTCATGGCACATGGATTGGTTGCTGTGTTGGTTGAAAATTTATTTAAGTATTTGAATGATTGTTCTGGGCTGAGCACTCTTTCTAGAGCTTAGCTATTTAGAACTGTAAGCAGTATTGACAATATCATTTCTTTAATGGGTAGAGTGGAAGGAACAAGAAAGGTAGGACAAAAATAAATGAAATAGTAACAAGATTATTTCCACAATGATATATGTATGCTACCAGGAAAATAAAGTATGACTGAGAGGAAGACTGTTTTAGTTTAGGTGGTCAGAGGTAGCATTTCCAAGGAGAAAAACATTTAAGCTGAAATCTAAATAATGACAGGAGGGAATCAACCTTGGAAAGAGTATTTGAGACAGAGGGATAAACAAAGGCAGAGGCACTAAGCGTAGTTAAGATTGGCATTCCTGAATGCAGGAAAGGGCCAGTGTGCAGGATGATTTTGGATGGTTGATAGTCTAATTTCTTTTCTTTCCTTTTTTTCTTTTATTTATTTATTGATTGATTGATTGATTTTCTACAGAGAGGATGAGAGAGGGATAGAGAGTTAGAAACATCGATGAGAAAGATTCATCTATCAGCTGCCTCCTGCACACCCCCTACTGGGGATGTGCCTGCAACCAAGGTACATGCCCTTGACCAGAATCGAACCTGCAACCTTTCAGTCCGCAGGCCAACACTCTATCAACTGAGCCAAACCAATTTCGGCTAATTTATTTTCAATATAACAGGAAGCTAGTGAAATAATCAGAGTGTCAAGATTAGGAGCAAGATACTGGTCTAGTGTGATTTATTTGTATATTCTAAATTCTTGTGGTTTCCTGTTTTTAAGTTGATTGGTGCCAAATGTTCCTAAATAGAAGTATAAGTTACACACATTAGCTAAGTTAAAATGCCCTAATGATGAGAAAATTGTATTTGGTGGATCTAACTTACAGAATTTATCTTAGGACTTTCCGAGCCTCAGTTTGTCCAGTTTAATGGAGGATTCAGCCAAGAGCAACTGAACTGGTTGAATGCAGTCCTTACATTCTCTGACACAAACCAAGAAAAGGTGGTGATCGTGAGTAAGTATTTAAATGATTTGTGTATTCTACCATTTTTAGAAAATGGGAAGCTAGATTTTAAAGCATACTAATAACATTTATGTTGTGGTAATCCTCTTTCAGTAAAATGAATGCTTAGTTTAAATTGAAAGACAATCTATATATATGAGATTAACATTTAAGGTGGAGTCCGGGAAGAATCGAATTATAAAGTAACAAAAACATCTTGCCAAATACTAGAACCTTTTAGGTTTCATAGTAACATTTCTCTAAATGGGATCAATTTCATAGTAATATTTAAATGAAAAATTCAGTCTAGGTCCCCTACCACACCTCAGCCCCTGCTGCCTGGGTGAAAGCAAAGCCGATGTAACAGGGACAGGTGTTAGAAACAACTGGCAGTGAGCTGTTATGTGATTATTGTTTTCATTTAGAGTCGTTTTTGACAGACATGCTGCCATCAGAGACTTAGGAATCTGGAGGTGCTTACAGTACATGCATTGTGGCTGTGTGCGCATGTATGTATAAACAAAGAACTGACTTGGGGATTTGCATTGTGGCTGGTATACTTGGTTTGGGGGCTGAGATTAGATCCCTTGTTTTAAGGATAAAATTGATGTGGCATATTGGATAAGAACATGGACTAAGGGTCACAAGGACAGAATACCATTCTGGCTCTTATATCTGTGAGCTTTCATTAAGCATCTGTCAAACCTACAAACTCCGTTTTCTCAATATTGTATTGAATCAAATGAAATTGTAAATATGAAAATCCTTTGAAAATTATAGGCTGCTCAGGTTATTGATGATATAAAATTTTCTATCAATATAGTTTTCACTTATTATCTTTCATTGATGTAGCAAAAACATGTAGATGGAGTTAACGGTATTTCTTCTACCATTAAATATTCAAGGCTTGGAAAATGTAAGGATCCTCAGGGGTTATTGGTCTGATGTGACACTATTTTGGCTTTACAATGAGTGGTCTCAGAAACTGAGACTTTTTGACTTGTCTCTTCTTCACTATTAAGTTGTGCTTTTGACTTTAGAGAATGGGGTGGGGGGGACTTTTTTCTGCCAAGGGCCATTTGGATATTTATAACATCATTCCCGGGCCATATAAAATCATCAGCTTAAAAATTAGCCTGCTGTATTTAGTCAATCATTAAATTAACTCACCCCTAATGCCTTGGCAGGGCCAGACCAAGTGATTTCGTGGGCCAGACATTCCCCACTTCTGCTTTAGAGAATACTGGTGCTAAAAGGGACCTAGAAAACATATGTCAGACCTTTTAATTTTAAAGATAAAGTAATGAACCAAAAACGATTAAACAACATAGCTAACATCCCGCAGCTCCTGACAATTGAGGCTAGAGAGTCCAAGTTTTGTATCCCAGCCCTTTTCCCAAACTATCCTGTCTTCTCATTGTATTTATGTCAGTGTACTTACCTACATTATCAGTCTCTAAAATCTCTTCTGTTTTCTTGTAAGCCTAGAAACTAGATGAACAAACCTTTAACTCAGTGCCTTGGGTTTTCTTTAGCACTAAAGTTTAAAATGACTATCAGAATTTTTCTTTTTGTTTTTTTCACTTCCCTTTTGGCTACTCACATGTCATTTTGCCTAATTCTAGAGTTTTGGCCATGAAGTTGGAAGACAGAATTGCTATTAGCTGAAATATGGAACACTGCAGCAGGAGGGGGCTTGAGGGGAGAGCTCAGGAGTTGAAGGTTGAAAATATTAACTTTCAGGTGCCTGTTAAACATGAGCAGAGATGTTGAGTATAATGAATCTGAAATTCAGAATAGAGGTTTGAACTCGATGTAGAAATGTGGAAGTTGAAAGAAGAGCAGATGATATTTAAAACTATGGACATTGCTAAGAGATCACCAAGTCTTTAGGTGGAGACAGAAGTAAAGCCCACAACCAAGCATTCAGGCACTCCTAATAAGATACTGGGGGAGCTGGGAGGGGTTGTGAGGAACCGGCAAGGGAGAGTGAGATTCAGTAGCCTTGAGGTTGGAGGGAAACTGGGTGGATTGGTACTGTACTGGGAGCCAAGTGTTTCCAGAAAAAGGGAGCAACTAATTGTGTCCAGTGCTACAGCAATTCGATAGGTGCGTCCAGTGTGGCATCTAGACCTGGAAAGTCACATGGTCTCTTTGGACCCTTAGCCCTTGCTACGTTTTAAAGAGGGGCTGAGTGTAATTGTACGGACAGGTGTGCAATATTAGCCCCTCTTTTTATACAAAACTAGTAAATATTAAGCAGACTAAAAATATTCAGAATAAAAATAAACAGTAGCAGAGAGCATTAGTGGGAAGAAGCAAAGACCAATGAGCTATTTATTGTGTCTCTCCTGCAGAGTGAAATGTGGCCTGATGGAGGATGTGGCCTCATTTATGTCTTGGCATCTTTCCACTTATCTCCTGAGGGACCTAGTATGAATATTCCGCACTTTTGTTCAGTTTTCTCATCTGTAAAATGGCTATGGCTACCTGGTTCTCTTGGAGGTGTTTAAAGGGGCATAAATCAGTTCCTTATAAAACACAGAGTGTTTAGAAAAATGGCGTATTATTCACTGGCCCATCCCTAAGCTACCTTTTATCTAAGGGTACCTCTGTGTGTGTGTAACATGTTTATACTTTCGGGAGTCAGGACAGCACTGGCCTGATTCTGTTGCCTTTGTAGACTGCCCTGTGCGGGATGCCTCAGTCTCCCTTGACGTGTGTACATCCTGGGACTTGCAGGGCTTCTGTCTCTGCTGTGGCCGCTGCCGTTGTATGTAAACTATCTCACCCTTCTTTATGCTCCAGACACCTGGCTATAGATTACCTCAGTGGTCTGCAAACTGCAGCTCGTGAGCCACATGTGGCTTTTTGGCCCCTTGAGTTTTTAGCAAAGGCCAGCTTAGGAGTATCCTAATTAAGTTAATAATAATATACTTACCTATATAGTTTAAGTTTTAAAAATTTGGCTCTCAGAAGAAATGTCAATCCTTGTACTATTGATATTGGCTCTGTTGACTAATGAGTTTGCAGACCACTGGACTACCTCATTCTTCATGTATGTGAATTTTCACTGGTCTCAGCCCATAATGAAGGAACAATGCACATTGTTTTCCTGAGTACTCACTTTTAGCTATTTTGGTGAAAGTGGTATATCCTAATTGGCTCACAACTCTTCTCTTTAACTGACAGGTCATCTTCCCATTTACCCAGAGGCCTCTGACTCTGTGTGCCTGGCCTGGAACTACAGAGACGCCCTCGCAGTCATTTGGTCGCATGAGTGTGTGGTATGTTTCTTCGCCGGTCACACTCACGATGGTGGCTACTGTGAGGATCCTTTTGGTGTGCACCACATCAACATGGAAGGGGTCATTGAAACAGCTCCGGACAGCCAGGCTTTTGGCACAATCTATGTCTATCCCGACAAGATGATGATGAAAGGAAGAGGCCGAGTTACAGACAGAATTATGAATTACAGGAAGGAAAAACCTTTTCCATTTTAGTCTGACTTATTTTATCCATATAGAAAGAGGAGCTTTAGCTTTGTGTTTGTGCTCTGCTACCCCACCCCTAACTCCTCAGTATCGTTGTTTAGTATTCTGTTAGTGTAACAATGCATTTATGGCTTCAGTGTGTTTTGCTCAAAGGACATTATGAAGTCATTTTGGAATGTATATCAAGTGCTAAAAATTGGAAAGAAAATGAATGAAGGTGCCATGAATGAACAAGGGAGGAGATCGGGCAGGGTGGGGGTGGGGTATAGTCCTCAAAACAGACTTTCTTTTAGCCTTACCTGAGACTTATAAAATTTTTTACAAGGAGAATATGCTTATTGACTAGCTATATAACTAAAATTCATAGTAGAAAAGCAGCTCAGGTAAAGCTTTTCCTTTTAACCATTCTATGCAAAAGAGCTTTGGACATTTTTTTTGCTCAGAATATCCATCATATTCTATTTTTATAAGCTTGTGTTCCTATTTTGTAGACCAAAACTATCATGTTACTCCCCGGGTGAATGGAGGGTGCTCCCATTCATATGAGTGATGCGTGCCTCTCGTGTGAGGCTCTCAGGAGGGCCTTCAGAGAAGTATCGATATGTGGCCAGTGCAGCTGTGTGCCTGTTCCTGGAGTCTGTGTGGGCCACCAGCTAGAGCTGCGTGAGGATAAACAGCAGCTAAATGAATTCACTCTTGACTCCCTTCGTAGATAAATGGGACGTGTCCAACTCAGTTGTCATACATGCTGAGGCTTTTTTGCAGAAACACTAGATGGCAAATGGGGACTGTTTGGAATGTAGAGAAGGTTTGATTCATGGCTTAAAAACGGATCAACCAGTGCTGATCCACATGACTGTGCCTGCCAGTACCTTCCCTAGGCAGTACAGGTGCATTTGTTTTCTATGGCTATAGTGACAAATTACCACAAATTTGGTGGTTTAAGTAACATATTTGTTCTCTTACAGTTCTGGAGTCAAAAGTCAGAAATTATTTTCACTAGGCTGAGATCAAGCCGTTGTTAGGGCTGCATTTTGCTATGTAAGGTAACAGTCCGAGGTCCTGGAGATCAGGGCCTGGATATCTTTGAGGTCTGTTATCCAGCCAGCCTCTGAGGTGACTGGTACACTCCCTGCATTAACTAACTGTAATGGTGAGGAGACAGACCCCTCCATACCACCGTGTGAAGAAAGGAATGTGGAGAAGGAAATATGTTGCTTGAAGGGATTAGGGATGGCTGAAAGAAGAAAGAAGAAAGGTTTAAATGGGTGTGGCAGTGCATTTCAAGTAAACAGAATAGCAGAGGCATTGAAGGACATGCTGAGCTTAGGAGATGCAAAGTAATGATATAACGATTCACTGGAAGATGCTGAGGTTGGGCAGGTGGTAAAGCAGGAAAAGGTTAGGCTATGGCTTTGTGCAGAAGAGCCTTGAGTGACCAGCCCAGAGTTCAAACTTGTCACCCAGTGTGAGAGCCCTCAGTTCCTGAGCTGGGCCATATATGATTAGATTGGTGTTTCAGTCCAGGAGATGATGAGAGGCTGGTGTACAAAAGTGACAACGGGAAGAAAGAAAATTGGGGGAGAAAAGACATGTTTTGATAATAGAAATATTAAACTTACTAATAATACTTCAATTGAAAATAGAGTTTAAAAGTAATTTCAGTAATCTCTTTTCTTAAGGCAGTACTCTACCAAAAGTTAGTTCCTTTTATATACATACAGAGATATAAAGGGAACTATAAACTCACAAATTCACAGTGTGATGTGGGAGATGCAGATACGATGAACGTGTATCTTGGACATTTTTTTTTCAAATTGGAACATTATTGTCTTTTAAGCACAGAATCAAGCATGACTTGGAGGATGGGTGGGTCCTATATAGAATTTGCAAGTAAGTCCATTTCCTCATGTATGATCTTAATAATTATACTAAAAAGACTTATAAAAGCCATAATTGTTATGCAGGCTAAATGTACATTGGAATACTGAAATCCTTAAAGTAAATTTCACTTTAATGTCAACTAGATTCCTTCCCCCCCCCCCTTTTACCTCATCTAAATCTTGATCGAGAATTTCTGACTATCCAGTGGCCATTGTGTAAAATAAAACATATGTATACCTCCTTTAACAAACATTTATAGAATACTTAAATTGTATTAAAGCCTATAAAAATAGAGACAAACTACAGGCTCATTTTCACTCTGCTGAGTTATGATTGGTGCTAATACTTTTTGAGTGAAATATTTCCTGTGACTCATGAAATCGTGTCTTGAGTAGCCCATGTGAAAAAGTTGCCATCTAAAACAGCATTGACCAGCAGAAATATGTGAGCCTCTTAAGTATTTTAGCAGTCACATTTAACACACAGTAAATAGAAACAGATAAAATGAACTTCCATTATGTTTTATTTACCCCAAAATATCTAAATATTTCAACATGTAATTAATATAAAAATTTTACATTTGTTATACTTTGTCTTTAAAATCTAGTGTATATTTTATACTTCAACCCATCCATTTGGACACTAACTTCGTTGGAAATACTTGATCTAAATTTAGATATAAAATTTGTAGTAGGTTCACATACTTATTCCAAGCATGCTTAAAACAAGTGTAAGTTTTCTAATAGCTGAATCGATATGTTCTTAAATTAAAATGAAAAAGGAAACTTCCTCCATCTAAACACATTTCAAGTGCTCAGTGCCCCATGTGGCTGGTAGCTACTGTATTGGAGAGGACAGCTCTAACATGGTCTCACCCCAGGGTTACTTTTTAAAAAAATATTTTATTGATTTTTACAGAGAGGAAGGGAGAGGGATAGAGAGTTGGAAACATCGATGAGAGAGAAACATCGATCAGCTGCCTCCTGCACACCTCCTACTGGGGATGTGCCTGCAACCAAGGTACATGCCCTTGACCGTAATCGAACCTGGGACTTTTCAGTCCGCAGGCTGACGCTCTATCCAGTGAGGGCCCAGGGTTACTTTTGAAAATCATTTTTTCAAATGTGTATAGATTTCAGTCTTATTTTTCATTTATAATTAATTAATATTCCCTTTTTGATTCCAAATTCCTTTATCTAATTTTCCTTTCCAAGATATGCTTGCTTATTTGGTTCATCTGGGGTCCTCATTTAACTCATGGCACTGTACAGTTAAATGTAATGAGATTAGGTCAGGGAGACAGTTCCTCTTGATCCTGTTTCTGTCATATTAACCAAGCCCTGCTTCCCTGTATTTTAATCATGTGTAGTAGCCCTTTGCAAGCACTTTATATTTTCAGAGTGCTCTCATAATATCTAGTTTGATCCTTCCATCTTTCTAAATAGATCTCCTTTTAATCCTGGGTTGTAGATAAATAACCACCAGAGTTTTTTTTTATATTTTCCAAGTCACATAGGTAGTGGGGAAGCTGAGTTAGAATTCATATTTCTTAACTTTTCCCAACTGCCTTTTGTACTACACTATGACAATAGGATGTCCGACCCCGACTCTTACTGGTCCCATCCAACCCTGTGTTTTAATGTAGTCAGCCTTACATTTCTGGGATTTAAAAAAAAAAAAAAAAAATTCCATGTTTATAAAAATGGAATATTCTCATTTTAAGAACAGGATTCTTCATTTCATTAACACATCTTGCAGTGAGTTGTCCAGAGGGATTGCATCTCCTTGGTAATACTTATGTAGAGCCATGCAATAAATGGTAAAACAGCAGTTATACTGGCAACAACCACCCGAATTCTTCCACCAATTGGATTCCTATAAAGACACAAAAATTATCATAAATGAAAATCCAGTAAAAATTATAGATTACCTTGAAAACAAGTATAAAGATAGAATTTGGTAAAATACATCATTACTTTTTTGTATGATCCTTTCTAAAAAACACTGAGCTATAACTTATTGATCTTATAAATTTATATATTCTTAATGCAAATCCTGGTTGTTTACATGTGTTGCAAATAGCTGTTCCCACTACATGATGTCTTAGGTAATTATTTGAGGAGCTGAAATGGTTGACTAATTAAGCAATGTGAAAATTTATTTTTTCATAATGATTTTTGTGTCCTGTTTAAGAAAACTTCCCAGAGGTCTGGAAAATATTTAGTTATCTTTTCTAAGTTTTACTGTTTTGCTTTCACATTAAATCTATAATCCACCTGGAATTGATTTTTATAAAAGTTGTAAGGTAAGGGTTGTTTCACTTCTTTCCTTTATGCTATTCAATTGCTCCAGCATTGTTCATTGAAGACTGCCTTTCTTTGCTATCTGCAGGGCCATTGTGTTATAAGTCAAGAGGCTACGTGTAGATGGATCTTTCTAGATTCTATTTTGTTTCATTAATTTGTCCTTTTGCTAGTAATAGATTTTAGCCTATACTGCCACTGGATAATTACTTAGGTCTTCATTATTTCAATATTTAGGTCTTATTTAATTTCTCTTATATAATAATATTTTATAGTTTTGTGTAGAAATATTTTGCATCTCTGCTAGATTTAGTCCTAGGGATGTTAATTTTATTATGTTATTATGAATGCTAACTTTGTGTTATTATTTTGTTACTTACTGATAAAAGTACAGTTGATTTTAGTATATTGACCTAGTATCCAGCAATCACGTTACAGTCACTTATACAAATAACTTTTTAGATTCTTTTTTATTTTTTATGTATGCAAACATGTCACCGTAAATAATAAACATTTATTTTTTCCTTCTCAGTCTTTGAGCCTTCTTCTTGCCTTATACTGGTTAGGACAGAGCTAGAACAATGTTGAATAGAAGTGTCAGTAGTGACTAACCTCATCTCATCCCTGATCGCAGTGGGAAAGTTTCACCTGCTCACTATTACCTACCATGCTTTGGCATAGATACCCTTTCTCATGTTAACTTCCCTTGTATGCCTATTTCCCAAGAGCTCTTACTATGAATGGATGTTGAATTTTATTAAATGCTCTTTTTGTATAGATTGAGAAGATTGTTTTTTTTTTATTCTGTTAATGTAGAAAGCATTGTAGTTCTTTAAATATTAAAACCATCTGTTTTCTTTGAATAAACACAGCTTGGTGGTTGGGTTATATATTGCAGGATTTAATTTGCTAATGTTTTGTTTAACATTTTTCCATCTGTGGTCATAAGTGAGATTGCCATATAACTTCCTTTTGCTTTGTTTTTTTTGTTTTGTATTATCAATTTTAATATCAAGAATATTCTACCCTAATAAAATGAATTGGAAAGTATTTCTTCTTTTATTGAAGTTTGACATTATTTCTTCCTTAAATGTTGAATAGAATTTGCCATTTGGTCTAGTTTTCTTTTAGGAAAAATTATAATTATGAACTCAATTTATTTAATATGGGACTGTTCTGAGTTTTGATAAACTTTATTTTTTAACGAATTTGTCCATTTTTGCCTACAATTTCAAATTTATTGACAAAAAATTTGTTCAAACTACCCACTTATGAGTTTTGCAATATATATTAGATATTTAGTAACATTCTGTTTTTCATCCCTGCTATTGGTTATTTGTGCCTGTTCTTTTTTGCTCTCCTATTATTTTGCCAGGGTTTACCAATTTTATAAGTCATTTCAGAGAATGAATATTTGACCTCTTTTATGTTGCATTTCACTGGTTTCTGCTTTTATGCTTATTTTTTTCTTGTTTCTTTAGGTTTAATTTGATGCTCTTTTTATAACTTCTTGACTTGGGGAATTCCTAAGTTTTTGGAAGCTTATCTCATTGGCTTTGTACCCTTTTTTTGTTTTTTAAATATATGTGTTTAGGCTATACTTTTCTAAGCATGATTTTTAGCTGCATTCCACAAATTTTAATATATATTACTCCATTATGTTCAAAGTATCTACTAAAGTCCATGTAATTACTCTTACCCAAATATTATTTGATAGTGTATTTCCTAATTTCCAGGTATACGATAATTGTCTAATTATTTTTGTTAATGATTTCTAGCTTAATTTCTAGCTGAGGTCAAAGAATATTCTCTTACATTTTTTGGGTCTTTCGTGGCTCAACATCCAATCTTTTTGTAAATATTAAATGTGTATTTGAGAAGAATGTGAATTCTGCCATTCTTGATGCTGGTGTTCTGTGTACATCCATTAGGTGAAGTTTCTTATTGTGTAGCTCAAATTGTCTGTATCCTTATCGAGTTTTGTTTTATTTTCTTGTCCTATTAGTTAGTGCCTGAAAGTCTCCCAAGATGATTGTCAATTTTCCAATATTTCTCTTTATTTTGTCAATTTTTGTTTTATCTATTTTGAGCTATATTATTAGTTTTACACAAATTTAGAGTTCTTACCTGTCTGATATAATGGTTTATTATACTTCCTGATTTAATGAATTTTTAGTCATTAAAAAATGTCTTTCTTTGGCATCTTAAATCCAAATAATATGTAGTGTTGAGATCACCGGATAGCCAAAAGGGATAATGTTGACTCAGTTTTTTATACAATCTCACTAGGATAAATTCAAAATAACAGGGAGTCCCAAAAACATGTACACACACTTTTAACAGCTGATAGCTCAATTGATGTTTCTTTTCAGCCAAAGTAAGCTTTGAACAAAGGAAATTCATCCTTAAATGCTACGGGAAGTTTGAAAATGCAGTTAAAGTACAGACACTGCTTTTTATAATTACTCAAACACCTCATGTCCCCCAAAAAAGATGTGTACACACTTAACAGCTGATAACTCACTTAATTTTCACTCCTTTTTAGGTTTAACTGATTTGAAATACTGGGTGAAACCAGTCTAAGCTTTGAACAAAGTATATCCACTAGACTTTTTTATTGTGATACATAAGAATAAAGTTTATGGTACAAAACTGGCAACAGTTGAATTGAGGGCACACAAATACATAGCAAAATGATTCTTGATGAAGCTATTCCTTTGCTTCGCATTATCAGCAATGCCTGGACCAGAATGGTCCTCAGTTTGAAAACAGGCATTGACCAAAAACAATTATTCATTTCTATAGAATTTTAAATTTAGAAAATGAACTGTATATTAATAAACAGTGACTTTATAATCATTCAAAGTGTGTATACACTTTGGGATACCTTGTAGATCAAATATTTAAATGTAAAAATGAAACTATACATGTATTAGAAAACTTGCTATACTTTAGAAAAAAGAGAGATTTCCTATGACTCCAAATCCAAAAGCAATAAGGGAAACCATTGCTATATTTGGTTATACTTAAAGCATTTTCATGGCAAAGTAAAAGGAGGATAAGAGACTGCAAAAGAAAAATTTCTAACTTATATCACAAAGTGTCGATAGCCATAGTATATAAAGAACTTCTAAAAACAGAATAATAACCTTAGAAACAGATTAAACCTATATTTCTCAAGATGAGCCAATATTTTATATGAAAAATGCAAATGGATTTTAATCATATGCAAATATGCTCACCTTTGCTCATAATACAAATTACAACTACTCATTTCTCTCTCTAACCTGTTTTGTTCAGTGGATAGAGCATTGGCTTGTGGACTGAAGGGTCCCAGTTTCGATTCTGGTCAAGGGCACATGCCTGGGTGATGGGTTCAATCCCCAGTACAGGAGGCAGGCAGTCAATAATGATTCTCTATCATTGATATTTCTCTCCCTCTCTGAAATCAGTAAAAATATATTTAAAAAAATAAATTACCTATTTCTCAATTATGATTAATAAAAATTCAAAATTTTGACAATATACTCCTAGAATTATATTTAACAGCAAAAGATTGCATACTCTGGACCTATCAGCAGATAATGAAAATTTGTATATACTACTGAGTGATTTTTAGCATTTAGTGATGGAAAAATCAGAGAGGACATTGTGTAATTCTCTAAGACAAGCAGCAATAAAAATAAGTGCATATATTTTCTCTACTAAGAAACAATGAAAGGATAAGCCATAAAATTGAAAAAATGTTCTACTGTAGATAAGAAAGTATAGGGTTGGGGGACTAAAAAGCTAGAGTTCTTTGAATATACTTTGTTTTGTAAATTTGACTCGGGTTCTTTGAATATACTTTATATTATGAAACAAAATATATTATTAATAAAGTATTCCCTAGAAATGAAAGAAACATTAACTGTATTCCCTTGTTAGGGTTAGTACATAGAGTAACTATCTCAAGCAATTTGAATATACATCCCTTAGAGAGCTGTTTCAAAACAAAACAAAAATACTTCAAAGAAATATTTAGTAATCATATTGTTATTCTGAGGTTGTGTTTGTATCATGGGATAAGTCAAATGAGTTATGTTGAGGATATTGGGATGAGTTTTTTTTTTTTTTTTTTTTTTTACAACAGTCTATATGGTCTCCATTTTCAGTCCTCAGGTGTCAAGGTTCTCTCTTGCCATTGATTATTCAGGAAGTTTTTTCTGTATTTTAGTTAAGATGAGATTTTTTTGACATGATTAAAAGGAATTGTAAGATTGCTGATAAGGTTAAATGAAAATCTGTGTTTTTAAATTTGGACTGCTGGGATTAGTAGGAACACATAAGATATTTTTAAGTATATATGTAAAACTGGAGGCCCAGTGCATGAAATTCGAGCAGGGGGTGTCCCTCTGCCCCACCTGCACCCTCTTGCAATCCAGGACCCCTTGGGTAGGGTCCCTAGGCCTGGCCAGAGATCTGGGCCTATTGGGGCTTTCCTCCCCCCAGCTGCCGGCACTGGACCTGCCTTGCAGCTGGACTTACCCCTGCCACTGCCACTGCTTGCCATCTGTGCAGCTCTGAACCCCC